CAGGAGTACCGACACACTGCGATTTTGATCGTCATTTTGGACAGAAATACCCAAGAGTGGCAGGCTTATACAGGATTTTTGGCCAAAAATACTTTTTCTCTCTCAACTAAAATTTAATGTGCCTAACTATTTAAGTACATCCAGAATAATACACAAGCACCAAGAAATTACCTCGAAAACCCATAAGTGGCGAGTAATTAGCATTACAAAAGTAATTAAAATATTCTAAAAATCATTTGAACATTTTCTAAAAGCCATTTGAACAAGTTATAATCAAGATATCAAATTTTGGTTAACAGATCCTTAAGCAGCACATTCAGAATGCAAACCTTACCGATTTGATCAAAAATCTATTTTTGGACAGAAATGCCAAAAACCCCGTCAAGTCTTATGCCTTATAGGATTTTTGGCCAAAAATACGTTTTCTCTCTGAACTAAAATTTAATGTGCCTAAATATTTAAGTACATGCAGAATAATACACAAGCACCAAGAAATGTCCTCGAAAACCCATAAGTGGCGAGTAATTAGCATTGCAAAAGTAATTAAAATATTCTAAAAATCATTTGAACATTTTCTAAGCCATTTGAACAAGTTATAATCAAGATATCAAATTTTGGTTAACAGATCCTTAAGCAGCACATTCAGGAGTACCTATACTGAAATTTTGAACAAAATCCATTTTTATTGTGGTAAATTATGTAATCTTAGCTACCAAAGTTTTTTGGCCAAAAATACGTTTTCTCTCTGAACTAAAATTTAATGTGCCTAACTATTTAAGTACATGCAGAATAATACACAAGCACCAAGAAATGACCTCGAAAACCCATAAATGGCGAGTAATTAGCATTGCAAAAGTAATAAAAATATTCTAAAAATCATTTGAACATTTTTTAAAAGCCATTTGAACAAGTTATAATCAAGATATCAAATTTTGGTTACCAGATCCTTAAGCAGCACATTCAGGAGTACCGACACTGCGATTTTGATCAAAATCTATTTTTGGACGAAATGCCAAAAATTGTAAGGCTTACCCCGTACAGGATTTTTGGCCAAAAATACGTTTTCTCTCTGAACTAAAATTTAATGTGCCTAACTATTTAAGTACATGCAGAATAATACACAAGCACCAAGAAATGACCTCGAAAACCCATAAGTGGCGAGTAATTAGCATTGCAAAAGTAATTAAAATATTCTAAAAATCATTTGAACATTTTCTAAAAGACATTTGAACAAGTTATAATCAAGATATCAAATTTTGGTAAACAGATCCTTAAGCAGCACATTCAGGAGTACCGACACTGCGATTTTGAACAAAATCTATTTTTTGGCCAAAAATCCTGTAAGGGAATTACTCTGCAATCGAATTGTGAACCACATACTCATAATCAGCAAGCTCAGGAGTACCCATACTGTGATTTTCAGCAAAATCTAATTTTTGGCCAAAAACCACCAAAAATGTAAGTCTTATACCTTACAAAATTTTTGACCAAAATACACTTTTTTCTCAGAATTAAAATTTAAGGGTGTTTCGAATTGGGGATTTAGAATATAGTTAAAAGTCTACCCAGATCCCAACAGGCAACAACAATAAAAAAACAAAGACAATCGGACTATAAAAGGGTAGACAAAGGATGAGAGTTTTTGTTGTGTATAATAAAGTACCATAAATTCCTTAACAAAATATTCAGCTTTCTATAATTTACCCTTAACCATACTTAACCTAAACATTAACAGTATATACATATTTATACAACATACAATAATTTGAAGCAAGGTGGAGGTAGGGGAGGCAATATAAGATTACGAATACTTAAGAGCGGAGCTGAGATGGCTGACGAGTAAGGCTGAGTATTGTAGAAGACGGTAGGTAGTCACTGTGCCGTAGGTTTCCAGGATAGGTGATCCTGTGGTCACTTCCCAGAGTGAACTGCTCTCTCATCGAACTGGAGCTGATCAAGAAGACTTGTAGGAGGTGACGCAACAACCAGGATATGGAGAAGGGAAACACCGGAGTGGTAACTAAGACTAGTCATTCTCGGGTTTCGTCCCTAGATGGCGTTGCTCGTGGTGCTGGGTAGGTAGATCAGGACAATAGATAGCGTGGTTCGTAACAAGGGGTTTAACTAATTAAGTACTTTCAGAATAACACACAAACCCTAAATCACACCTTGGAAACCCATAGTTGATGCATAATTAGCATTGAAAAATGTCAGTAAAATCTTTCAAGGGTCATTTTGGCCACTAATTACTTTGCAATCGAATCGTGGAATACATATTCATAATCAGCAAGCTCAGGAGTACACATATTGTGATTTTCAGCAAAAGCTATTTTTTGGCCAAAAACCACCAAAATGTAATTCTTATACCTTACAAAATTTTTGACCAGAATATACTTTTTCCAGAGAATTGAAATTTAAGGGGTTTAACTAGTTAAGTACTTTCAGAATAACACGCAAACCCTAAATCACCCCTTGGAAACCAATAGTTTTTGAGTAATTAGCATTGACAGTCAGTAAAATCTTTCAAGGGTCATTTTGGCCACTAATTACTCTGCAATCGAATCGTAGGCCACATATTCATAATCATCAAGCTCAAGAGTACCCATACTGTGATTTTCAGCAAAATCTAATTTTTGGCCAAAAACCACCAAAAATGTGAGTTTTATACCTTACAAAATTTTTGACCAAAATATAGTTTTTCTCAGAATCGAAATTTAAGGGGTTTCTCTAATTAAGTGCTTTCAGAATAACACACGAACCCTAAATCACACATTGGAAACACATAGTTGATGAGTAATTAGCATTGAAAAATGTCAGTAAAATGTTTCAAGGTTCATTTTGTTAACTAATTACTCTGCAATCGAATCGTGGACCACATATTCATAAGCAGCAAGCTCAAGAGTACCCATACTGTGATTTTCAGCAAAATCTAATTTTTGGCCAAAAACCACAAAAAATGTAAATCTTATACCTTACAAAATTTTTGATCAGAATATACTTTTTTCTCACAATTGAAATTTAATGAGTTTAACTAATTAAGTACTTTCAGAATAACACGCAAACCCTAAATCACCCCTTGGAAACCAATAGTTGACGAGTAATTAGCATTGAAAAATGTCAGTAAAATCTTTCAAGGGTCATTTTGGCCAATAATTACTCTGCAATCGAATCGTGGATCACATAATCATAATCAGCAAGCTCAGTTGTACCTATACTGTGATTTTCAGCAAAATCTAATTTTTGGCCGAAAACCACCAAAAATGTAAATCTTACACCAGTGGTGTCAAACTCAAAACCTTTCGAGGACCAATTCTTATTTTAGTTACCCTCTTCAGGGCCAACACAAGTGTTATATCACATATTTGCAGGATTGAAGTTTACATCTTCACACATTGCCTTTCCTGGCTTACCAGGAATACCTCATTTGGGTTTGTCTGATCTTAAGTTTGTAAAATTCATTTTCCTAGATAAACATGATTATACAGGTATCTATTTTTTTTCATAATTTCACGGGATGATAAATTTTACCGTCATCCCGCGGGCCACACCTGACCATCCCAAGGGCCACGTTTGGCCTGCGGGCCATGACTTTGACACCCCTGATTTATGGTGCCGTGTGGGGTGGTGATGCAGCCGTGTGTTACGTCCCTTCACGTTGCGTTACAGTCATCGATCTGTTGCTCCTTCACGTAGCACAATAGTCATCAACTTGTTGCTTCATGGCGCCACGCTACAGTCATCAACTTGTTGCTTCATGACGCCACGCTACAACCATCAACTTGTTGCTTCATTACGCCACGCTCCAGTCATCAACTTGTTGCACCTTCACGTAACACATCAGTCTTCAACTTGTTGCTTCATGACGCCATGCTACAGCCATCAACTTGTTGCTTCATGACGCCACGCTCCAGTCATCAACTTGTTGCACCTTCACGTAACACATCAGTCTTCAACTTGTTGCTTCATGACGCCATGCTACAGTTATCAACTTGGTACTTCATGACGCCACGCTAGTCATCAATTTGGTGCTTCATGACGCTACGGCATAACTTCACAGTATTGTCTTTGTTGTGTTCAGTGTAACAATCTGTAATGATCTGTAATGGTCGCGAGTTCTAGGAAATTTTGTCACAGGTTCACTATATGTCTAACCTAATCTACCCTAACCCAACTTAACCTAACTTAACCGACTGTAACTTTACCTAACCTTACCATGACTTCATCGTCTCCAAAATAAAGACATTATGATCTAAATGTAATAAATATAACCCAGTATTCAATGGACCGGTGACGAAATATCCGCCCACCGTCAAGGAGTGGAGGGGGGGGGGTGTAGTTGTGGAGAGGACAGATGATAAAGTGATAAGGATTCGTTTACGCTTTGGAAAGAATCTGTCATTACCAAGAGCACATTTTGCCACTGGACTGTCTCAGAAGGAATTGAGGTATTGTACAGACATGAACAGCCCTCCGTTAGAGACCAGCCACCCTGAAAGTGTCATTGTTCTCTTCACTCGACTCATCAATCTTGAAGACCAATTGCTCTCTGAAAACGACATGCCAGTTTTCAAGAGTTATTGTGCACTTGAGAAGACGAACAACTCAGAAGGGAATTATAACTCTGCACTAGCAATGTAGATCTTTTTAGGGTAGCACCATTATCCTTCGTGAGCGACGTGTTCCTTCCGAGAGCACTGTCTCTCAAAGCACCAATCTCTTCAGGAACGATGTGAACCTCCGTGAGAAATATCTCTCTGGAAGAGACGTACCCTCATTATACTGAGGTTGCTTCCAGAAACGATTTCCATAAAGAAAATGTCTCCTTGATTGAGGACATAAAAATTCTTTACATCACTAAATATCTTCTGGAGTCTTTGTGCATTATGAAGACCACTGTGTCCCTTTATGATCGACCCATCTTTTCAAAACTACAACATACCTGCTGGAGTAATGGGGTGTGTCGTCTAGGTCGAGGCAAGCGGCTACAATGAAACATAATACTCTTTTAAGTAAAATTTATTTATATTTTCCTCATTAAATCAAAATATATCACCAGTTTTATCTTTAATTCTGTAATTTGCGTCCAAGTCGCAGCATTCTTCAGTCACACTTACTGTTACTGACATTATAAAAAGCATTTTGAGGCAGCATAACCCAGCTATTTAAAAAAAAATTAATAGCTTCTAGTGACTGCCCACTGTACTGTTGAGGTATTGGACTACTCAGTCAAAAAAAAATACTCTAGCAGAATGCAGTATTACAAATCACAGCCACACACATCATTGATAAAATCGAGCACACCTTGTACTACATTAGTAACAACACGATATTAAACCTAAAATATGATTGGCAAGATTTTTTATTTTATAATATGTCAGCAATCAAGAAGGATAGGAGGAGGAGGAACTTAACAAAAGTGGTGTGACAGCGAGGAGGAAGGGCCGCGTACATGATCATCTGCAGCAGTCGATAAAGAGGAAAGTTCCGGGAATTCCACTGCATCGGCCACAGACATTATCAACCTTATGAGGCACACGGTCACGTCCTCCTGCTGTTATTACTAATGTAAAACTGTTGTTGTTCCTGTTCCTAATTCACCGTTCCACCTCTCCACCTTCTGCTGTTGCTTCTCCGCCTCAATCGTCGGCTGTTGCTTCAGTAAACACAGCTGATGACGCACAGCAAAGAAACTCAAGAATGGACTGAATATGATCCACCAACACTGTGGACCTTCCAGAAAGAAAGAGTCCGTCTCCTTCTTTTAATAGTGGCGGGAGAAGGTTAGGGAACGCTGCCAACTTCAGTTTAAGAATGAAAGTTAAGATCAAATTAAAACATTATCTGCAACTTAAATAATTATTTCCAGCACCATTGAAGTATTGAAACTTGTTTACACCAACTATGATTGATGACCAGTGATCGGCCCAGGGCACACCATGAGTGACCCTGCATCCTGGTGACCAGCCCAGGGCACACCATAAGTGACCCTCCGTCCTAGTAAGCTGGCCAGGGCACACCATAAATGACCCTGCGTCCTGGTGACCAGCCCAGGGCACACCATGAGTAACACATCTCAGGTACTGAACGATGACCGTCACCATTCCTATATATAGCTAAATTTACTTAAGACTACAAGCAACCATTCGCTGACACAATGTTGATTTCTCCGCAGCGTAGAACTGACTTCTATAAATCAGATTTAAGGATCTTTCTAAAATAGAACCTCAGATACATATTTACAACCTGACCCCAAGTATCCCAGTTGTCAAAAGCAAGCGTGTACATAGTTGTGGTACGAATGTGTAACACGTAGTGAATCAGCCGCACCTACACCTCTCTCTTCCTTATTCAACAGGTCTTGTGGCCGAGAAGAGGTTGTCTGTGTTTCTTACCTTCAAACTAAATTCCCCGTCATTAATCTCCGTAAAACTGGAAAGTATCACTCAAAGAATCTTGCAACACAAATTATTATTTGGTTTAGTTTCTAAAAATGTGTTGTACAGCAGGTGATAGTCTCACAGTGATACTTCTTGTGACTTGTCGACGGTGCCAAGTGTGATGAATTATCTTCACTGTGTACACACTCTTTCACTCATTCTTTTCCAAACGACTAAAGGCGGCAGCACACTGGGCACTTTCCTCCAAGCATGTTTGGCAAACACGGTCCGGCTAACAAAACCAAGAGACGTTTTACCTCACACTGGGATGTTTTGCTGGCGCGTCTGCCCAACGCAACGAAAGCAACAACAAAGCGTCTAGATGAGGTTCGCCATGGATCCAGTTACTACAGTTGAGGCCTTGCAGGATTGTGCTATAGTTCTTCAATTGCTGAAGCAAGTGAGGCGTGTGCAAAAACTAAATAAAAGACAATGATGCATTGTGAAGTTTCTTTAAAAGTGGCAGCGGCTGACTGCTCAAAGACCCTGAATAATGATCTAATAATACTAAAGAAGTTTATATGTTATATTTTAAATTCTTATTGTTTCATGATTTATTTCAATTTTTACTTGAAATTATATGAAGCTCATTTGAACACGAATCCGGCCAGCAAAAATCCCTGCCAAACCGTTGTCCATTTCTCGCAACAGCAGAAATCCTGCTGCTTGCTGGGCCGTCAGGCCAACGGCCAGCAAAACGGGCAACACGTTTGGAGGAAAGTGCCCAGTGTGCCACTGCCTTAAGTCATTAAGGCAGACAAACTGCATATAACTGGCATGATACACTGATCAAGGCCACACTACTATATCACGTCACAGTATCACGCTTAGCACCACAATATCGTCCATCTCTCGAAGATGTTATTTTTTTTTTTCAGTTTGTCTGGGATGATGATGGCCCATTTTTGTGTACTCTATGTAGTTTATTTCATATTTAGGTAACAGTATAGGCACAGGTGTATTAAATTTGTGCCACGTGTGATAACTATGAAACAACGTGTTAAATTGAAAATTTCAGAGGCAGGAGTTTAAGAATGGACAGAATTTGTGATATACATTGTGAAGTATGTCACTAACACATTTGATATTATGTTTAGAATGTCACACCGTTGCTTTACTCATAGATATTATAGTAGAATGATTTCCGAACTTAAGAAGTACGTTGGGACTAACCTGTAGCTTCAAGTATTACAACAGAGCAAGATCACCCTTAAGTACAGAACTGGTACCTGTTCACAAGTGTTAGTGCCAGGCGAGAACATCTACTGAACGTAAGTACACCACAGTAGTATAAGTATTCAGCTCTAAATATCACAGAACTAGTCATCAGTTGTGCGTGTCGTGACAGCAACTATTCAGTTGTTGGCAACACGTAAGGACCGGTTTTGACCGGAGTGCCACAACAGAATAAATTTCAAAATGCCAGTGCCACCATAACACCTTACATTACACGTCACTACCACAGCAGAACAGTATTCATCGGACATCACTACAATATAACTCTTCAGTAGTTGTTAACACCAGAACCAAAATTAGTCTCCACTTCCAACATCCACGATGAAATAACTTATCACTTACAAATTACACAGTGAAACTAATCTCCAGCTGCCAGTTTTACAATACAACAGATGTTATTGTCATGACAGTATGAGATTCCAGCTGTCAATGAGACCAAAGATCAGATCTTAGCTGTCAACATCAAAACGGAAGAAACCTTAAACTTTATCAAAGCAAGACAGTCATCAGTTTTAAATGGCTCATCAGAAATAGGTTTCAGCCATGAGACCTACCATCAGTCGATATCCTGCGTCTCAATTGTAGACACTGGGACGTCAATAGGGAAGAGCTGTCTGTATGAAGTAAGAGCCGCCAGGATGTAAGAAAGCTCCTGGTGAACGCTCTCCCATGGGGTTTTCTGTAGGAGGGCGTGTATAATGGCCTGAGCGGCGTGCGGGTAGTGGGTGGCTCGATATGGGTTCTCGAGATCAGGGCCGACCATCAGGTTTGTGGTGAAGGTCCGTCCTACCCCGCGGGGGCCCAGGAGTCCACGCTCCAGGTTGGTCAGCCATCGTAGACGCTGCTCCACCTGCCTATACACCAGAAGAGAACTATTCAAGTCTACTGTTTACACGCCGCCCACCACAACTGCGTTAACATTAAGTCCCTCAGATAACACTACCACCAGTGTTGACTATGTAAGTCAGAGAGAGCGAGCACTTACTCACCATGACTCCATTATCATGGAATTTAACTCAAGTGGTGGCACAAACTTAGATTGTTTCATCTCGGCCCAACCCATCAGACACACCTACGTCTCCTTGCTGGCTCCTTCTCAGGTACACAATGATCCCAGCCCACACCTGACTTATGTCAGGAACATAATAGTTCAGGGGGAACGGTGGACACATATAGTCTAACAGCAAGGGCACTTATATTTGTGTTTTTCCGCCAAAAGGCTGGAAGGTTATTTCCCAAATAAAAACACCCCAGGAATCTAAAACCACAAGTCTTAAAAAAATTTGCTTGGGGGATTTCTCGCAAAGTTAAGGTAACAGCAAGATCTGAATTTCGATTCACGGCCAAAGTGCCGTACGTTACATTCGTTTGTTTGAGCCACTAAGTGCCACCTGGGGAATATCTAATCTAATCGAGTGCTAAGACCTGTAGAATCATGAGCTATTGAGATTTTGACAGCTGCAGTAGTCTCTAAGTTGAATTTTATCCGTTGTGTAAGTTAAGTCGCTGAATTTTTCCCACCGTGTTATTCTGGTTATGAGATAATGTCCATTATATAATTCTGATCGTCCTAATTACATAGTTGTCATGGTTCAGTAGTAGAATTTTCTTTGTTGGAAAATAAGTCTGCCGGAATAGTGTCCATCCACCCCTGTAACGGCCTCCTTCCCTCCCAGTCACATTACATTCCCAGCTGGCTCGCGTGAAGGACAAGCTACGTGTTGCTGTTGGCTCATGCAGAGGACGGCCTGAATGACGCAACTCTCCACGTGCCAGACGTGATGGTGAATTATCAAAGAAATGACACGTCCGACTCAGCAGTGACGTCATAGTATTGTTGCTGCACTCACAATGCAGCTCAGTGAGTACGAGACTCGTGAAGCAGTTCAGTGTGTACGAGACTCCTAAAGCAGTTCAGTGAATACGAACAAATTTAGTGTTGGGTGAAGCAGGACATTGGTAAGGCAGGCCAGGAAGTGTGCTAGTTAACCCAACAAGAGCCTACGTCAGAGCTTGTTGGCAAGGCGGCGAGTGATGGGGAGGAGCGGAAGACGTGGGCAGGAGGGGTGCGAGTGATGGGGAGGAGCGGGAAGACGTGGGCAGGAGGGGTGGCGAGTGATGGGGAGGAGCGGGAAGATGTGGTCGGGAGGAGTGGCGAGTGATGGGGAGGAGCGGGAAGACTTGGTCAGGGGTGCAAGGTGAAATCGATTGCACCTGTACCTGTAGTGGGTGTGACTGTACCTGCATAAAGTGTGACTGTACCTGCAGTGGGCGTGACTGTATCTGCAGTGGGTGTGACAGTACCTGCACTGTACCTGCAGTGGGTGTGACTCTACCTGCATAAAGTGTGACTGTACCTGCAGTGGGTGTGACTGTACCTGCAGTGGGTGTGACTGTACCTGTAGTGGGTGTGACTGTACCTGCAGTGGGTGTGACTGTACCTGTAGTGGGTGTGACTGCACCTGTAGTGGGTGTGACTGTACCTGTAGTGGGCGAGTCCAGTGACGGGCATAGAGTATTGGTGCACGTAATTAGGCATCGTGTGGTACAACCTGTCCAGGTCTGACAAGGAGCTGTTCATTCTGATCAGTTCTGCCTCGATGGCGTCTGTTGGAGAGAAAAAAAGTACATTGTTGGAGAGACCAGCTGTTTAATTATTGGAGAGAGAATTATCCTTGTTTAGTGTAATACACACACACACATTATATATATTTATATATATATATATATATATATATATATATATATATATATATATATATATATATATATATATATATATATATATATATATATATATTAGTAAGACAAGACAGAATGATAAAATACAACACAACTTTCAATAATTCCTCTTCAGCAAGCTCCACAAAACATTAAGATTCATAATTTTCCATAAAAACTGTGTGTGAAAATCAGTCAGAACATATTACGCTTCATTCCCAAGTGCGTGTTACTGGACAAGGGAAGGAACACATTGTGCACCTCCTGTACATCACACGCGGTAACAAAGACAATAATATACCAGCCAAACAAGAGAGCAGAAGTTTTGGTACTGTATTGTCAAAAGACATCCAATAACATGGAGTTTAAGGCAAATATTTCTCTCCAGAACCTTCCAGATCTTCCCGAGCCCAAAGGAGACCCATGGTGGCGTGTGGGAATCTTTAACTGCGATTTGTGTTTGTTGCTCAGGGTGGATAAACGGAAGTCTCCTTTACAGTATCCAGGCCTTCAGCCTTCCAGAGAGTTCTGGGTGAGATGTGAGTGTGCAGGTGGGCGTCGGGAGTGAGGCGTCATCAGCAAGGCGAGCGGTGCCGTCTTATTGATCAGTGTGGAGCGTGGCGCGCACACCGAGGCCACGCCAACCTGGCCCTTCCATCCCTCTCTGTGGTGCACGTGGCCTGTGTGTGTGTGTGTGTGTGTGTGTGTGTGTGTGTGTGTGTGTGTGTGTGTGTGTGTGTGTGTGTGTGTGTTATATTCTGTCCATGTCTACTGCATCTTTAAACTCTGTAGCGTAAAAAAATACAGCACATTGGTCGAGGTTTCCCCTGGAAACTTTCCGCTACAGAAATTTCTCCGAGGGCTGGACGCAGTAGTAACACCCCAAGTACAGATACAGAGATATAAAGAACAAAATTCTAAGTTAAAAGGGGATTATAAGTCCTGAAACTATGATGTGAGAGTCGTACCTCAGAGGATATAGCAGACTATAAACGGGAATGTGAGAGATGAACAAGTTGGCCTGGTGGAGAGATGTGCCTACGTCACCCGCCCTCACCATACGTATTGGAGTAGGAAATGTTTATGAGGGAGCAGAGAGAACATGTGTTAAAGAGTTCGGGTTATGTAGAGGTAGTTACTATAAGTTCTGGAAGAATTCTTTGAAAAAGACAAAGCTAAAGGTGGAATGAGATAGATGTGTGTTATGTATACAACTGTATCTTAACTCTTTAATTCAGTAGAAGAAAGATGAGCAAGATGATCTATGTTAGTCTTCACAAAATAAACTGTAAATCACTGATGGACTGTAAGTTGAGGAGTATTCGGTGAAGGGTTTGGGAAAAGATTGAGAGATGATGCAGATGAACTTATATGAAAGACACAGCAAGGTGATGGTGTTAAAGAAAATGGTTTCACTTGTGGGGTGTGAATGTCAAAGTCAATTGAATTTCAGATTATTTGAAGAATGTTCAGTGTTGAAGGGAATTTAAAGGTTTCAAAGATACGGAGGAGAGACAAATTAATTATTTAGTGAATACAAACTTTGAGTCTTCCAACACTCAAAAGGTGAGTGCACATAATTCTTCCTTGGTAGAGTTGTGTTTCTAAAAACCAGATATTTGGAGGGATCTTTTTTCAAAATATTATGATATCAATTTTATTTCTTTAAACATTATGTTTTATTGTGTTGCGTGTTGATGATCCTCATTGAGACCACATCAAAGTCTTAGAGACATTAATACAAAAGTGTTCCATGACAAGGAGGTCGAGCTGGTGAGGCTACAGGTGAGGCGACGTCTGCTTCAGCCTCCTCACATGGTGTACACTCACTGAGCTCCGGAGTACATAAGAACATAAGAACATAAGAATGGAGGAAACTGCAGCGGGCCTATTGGCCCATACTGGGCAGTCCCGTATACACCCAACCCCTATTGCTCATATAAGCATCCAATGATGATATTTGGTAACTTGTTCCATTCATCCACTACTCTGTTTTCAAACCAGTGTTTACCTATTTCACGCCTAAATCTAAATTTGTCTAATTTAAAACCATTGTTACGAGTTCGCTCCTGGTTGGATAGTTTGAGTACCTTAGTAATGTCCCCTTTGTTTAGCCCTGCCTTCCACTTATACACCTCTATCAGGTCGCCCCTCGCTCTACGTCTCTCAAGGGAGTGCAAATTAAGATGCTTTAACCTGTCTCTATACTCAAGGTTCCTAATGCCCGGGATTAGTCTTGTCATTCTCCTCTGAATTCTTTCCAAGGATTCTATATCCATTCTGTAATACGGTGACCAGAACTGAACTGCGTAATCCAGGTGTGGTCTCACAAGAGCAAGATACAGTTTTAGGATGACCTCGCTAGTCTTGTAACTAACACTCCTTTGTATGAACCCAAGTACTTTATTAGCCTTGTTACGAGCAAAAACACATTGTTTACTTGGCTTAAGGTTCCTACTATCATTACTCCTAAATCTCTCGCAGTCGGATTTCTCTATGGCATCGTTGTTCATCTGGTATCTGGTTTCCCTGTTTACATCACCTATACTGAGTACTTTACATTTGTCGACGTTGAATTTCATATGCCATTTTTCAGACCATTTTTCAGACCATTCGAAAAATTTGTTTAGATCTTCCTGTAGTTTTGCCGAGTCCTCGTCAGTAGATGGAGGACAAGATGAAGGAAAGGAACTATCAGGGTGATATACACTTATACAGTATGTGCACACAGGGCCGAATGGATACAATGCTCACCTCTTGTGTCAAGAGTAGATGATTCACACACACACACAATATTTTTAGCAAAACCACCTGTGTCCACCATCTGTCTCCACCATTTGCATCACCACCACCTTTGTCTCCACCACTTGTGTCTCCACCACCTGTCTCCACCACCTATGTCTCCACCACCCGTGTCGCTTCAAGGTTGTGTTTTTCGAGGTGATTTCGACTGGAATTTGTAAGTATCTCTTCTAATAACTTTCTCACATTTGTAGCTAAACTGATCAGACGGCAGTTAGAGGATAGTAATCTATCTCCCTTCTTGAAAATCGGTATCACATCCGCTATCCTCCAAGTGATTCTGTTACTACACCCGATTTTATTACCATGATAAACAAGTTACCGAAAGACATATCAAGTTCTTCCTTACATTCCTTTATTACTCTAGCTAGCAAATACTTCATCGGGGCCAGGCGACTATTAGGCTCTAGTTCATTTGTTTACTACTGTCTTTACTAGTCACTACGCCTTCGGGCATCATATACAGATCTCTCCTAGTAAAGATTAATAGTGAAATATCTATTCAAAATATTGTTCATTCCCCTCGCTATCAGTAAGCTGACCTGAATCCAATTGCAGCGGCTCAGTCTTCTCTCGGGCTTCAGTTTGGTACATTTGGAGAAAAAAACCTTGGGGATTAGTCTTCACTTCTCTCTCTCTCTCTCTACTTTAACGTCATTATCTCTCTTTGCTTTCCTTATATCTCTTGGTCCTTCTGCCAATAAATATTTGTTCAGTAAAAATTCATCCATTTGGGATTATTGTTATTACATGATCTTAATTATTTGTGTGGTATATGTAGTTCAGTACACTGATATAGGACCATGTCAAGTCCACACACACACAGGATTGCGACAAAACGCACCTACATTGGATGATGACCAAAGTACCTACATAGGATGATGACCATTGACCAGTGTACCTACTCACCTATGATGCCGGTGAAGTTATATCCCGACTTGTGTAGTGTTGTGGCGTGGAGGCCGAGGAAGCGCCGCCACCCGTCGTACAGGTCAGTACTCAGCTCTGTCATGACCACAGGAGGCAGTTCATTCTCGCTCAACACCATCATCACCGCCCCCACCAGGCTCGCTGCAGGGACAACACGTACATAGTCTTACAATGCTCAAAACACAAAGCACAGGGATTCAGTCTAACAGACACTCTAAGCATACTGCAGGGAGATGTCCATGCAATATATTGAAGACTAAACAGACAGGTTATAGATATACATTACAGTCACACAGACTTAGATCCCGCCTCAGAGTAAAGTTTTCTCGCTTATTATGCTTAAATTTAATATTCCACAATGTCATTTTAGGATGAGTGATGCTTATGTACCTGATCACGTAAAGCAAAACAGGACACCATACTCTAAATAAGTAAGCATGGTGATGATGGGTATGATATAGGTGGTGTTGTAGTCATCAGAGGACACAGCTATCAGAGTGTGTGACGACAAAGAGAAACTACAAACATAACAGTGATCTTAGTTGTCCTCAAGAGCACCTGTGTCAAGATAAGGTAAGTAATCCCGAGTTATCACAAATATCGTAAAGAACCCTTAAAGTAGGAAGTACAGTAATCATAGTTAAAACTTACTGTAATAAACACAAAAAGTAAAATCATCTTAGTTGACCACAGACATATGAGAGTGCAGCAGTCGTCACAAGGAACAAAAGTTTATGGGTTCTCTGAGTGAAAAGAGAGTGATTATGATGATGCTAAATGGTAAAAATTGACACAGTTACATAAGATCGACATACTGATCATGTGGGTCCACTTGTAGTCAGGGTCCAGGAGGCTGGTGTACGAGTAGCGGGTGTCGTACTGGGAGTGTCGGAGGGAGAAGGTGCTCCACTGGGCCGCCACCACAACATACCGAGGAACAGAAATACCAACACACATTATCTTTCTTGTTTGGATCATATAATCAGTTCTTAACCTAATTATTTTATTGAATGTATTGTTTATACTTTGTTTTCATCTTATTTACAGATACCTATATTGCCTACTCTTCAAACAGATAACGAGGATATAGTGAGGTTATAGTGAGTGTATATCTGGATCGTCAAATGTTCTGAAAGTGATTATTAGGTACAGTTTGACTTCATGACTGTGATATGCGGTGGTCATGGGCCATCAACAACCTGACCCTGTAAATCAGTAGACGGCAACTTTGTACCGCACTTTTAAGCAGTTCAAAAGACGTCTACACATTAGACTGTGACAAAATAACTTCTCAATGCGCATTGTGGAAGTATGGAATAGCTTCCCGCAGTTTCATTACAAGCCTGAATGCAAGTTGTAAAGCAATTAACTCGCCCACTGTCAAGTCTAGTAACGTCAGCATCAAAGAAACAGGTGAAGAGCTGGGTGTGCCGGCCTGAAGCTGTCGCCCAGAGTACATCTACTAAGTAGGCAAGTAAAAGCAAGCTTAACAGTCATAGGGTGATCTGGCGGGGACTGACAACTGTGAGACAGATATGAAAAGTGCAGGTATGAGGCAGAAGTAATTAAATGTCTTCAAAGGTGACAATAAAAGGATTTAGTTGCATTTCTGTCAATATGATAAAATTAAACATATAAACAAAATGTCAAACTTTAATCACAGCAGCTGATATAATAATACCGTACTGAGAATGAAAACTTAGAAGTGGTAAGTCAGTATAGTACTGTCAATAGTAGCTTGGTACCTGTACTATGACGACCACATCTTATTAAAACAAAAAACACCAAATGTATAAAACCGGTGATCCATGAAACATGATCTGATTTAGTATTATTTTGATTTCGTCAAATAACACAGTTTTTAGCCTTTGGGTCTGTCTCCACTGCCATTCACTACCCTGCGAGGAAATTGCAAATGTTATAAATAGGTACAGTATTAACTGCTCCCACCTGATAATTATCTCATTCATAACACCTAAATTCGAGAAAACTACAAAATATTACAGAAACATGTAACCCATCTGCCACCTGTATAAGCTGACTGTAGATAAGATCTAGGACGTCAAGAACTCCACTAAAATACCCAATTCTCCAGGCTTTAAGTAAAATAACAAAACATGCAGCGTGTCTGACAAGAGTAAACCGCTTAGTGTTCAGTGTGAGTCCTACAACTTGTAGAGCCACAAGGAAGGTTTTATATACCAGGGGAAAATATATCTTCCTTGAGCCTTATTTGTCGATGACTATTATACGCTCTTTAAAATCTTAAATGTTAATGCTTAGTGATGCATTGTAACACCAAAAAAAGGTTTCATGGACACTTTTTTGTGTGTGTTGGAGGAGGCAGTTACTTAACAGAGTCGATGAAGTGGATTGCTTTCAGAAAATATAATTGACATGTGAATTCTCATGTACAGTATGTCAAATATTCTGTCATCTGAGGGTCGGGGAGAGGGACGGGGAGACGGACCGTACTAGTCCCTCCTCCTTCCTTGTCTCTTGAGTTGACGTCTGTAACTAAGGTAGAAGGACTAATGCTTCCTTTCTTCCCCTACAAACCTCCCCATGACTCACCCAGTCGACGCCCATACCAACGAAGTGCGCAGAGGGTACACCTCGCTGCGCCGTGAAGCTGACGTAGTCGCTGCCGGATCCGAGATTGCTGAAGTGTGCATCTAGGGGGAGAGGGGGTGAGGATGGTTACCTACTAGTGTCTGTCTGGTCAACACACACACAGCTGCAGGTCAAATAAGCCTTCAATCCCAGGAGATCCAAACCTAAACTGATGTAACATTAGGAAAGGGGTTCTTGCGGGAATATGGCCTGTTAGGATTAGAACCTATGAGCAGTATGGCCAATATGAACTTGGTCCCCTAGAGTATCTATTTACTCTTTTCATGATGGCACAATTTCTCTTGTATTTAAATACGGCAATGTGACATAAAATCTATAGAGAAAAAACATTAGAAATTTTACACACACACACACATACACACTGGCTCTATCCATCTTTAACATTCTCTGACAGGTGATTCTCTTATATAATCTTAAATTGTTGATAACCAGTGTTGTTTCACCCTTCCCCAATCACAGCACCGCTAAGTATTATAATTTAATTGTAAAATACCTTTATTGTGACATAGAACACATAGAAACTGTTGGAAAATTATGAGCAGACAGAGGAAGGCACAGCAGAAGGGACCTAAGTACAGTACATGTCTCTCTTACCAAGTGGATCCGACGAGCACCACCCGTCGTACACAGACACATCTTCACCAACAGGCCACATCACCTGCGTCGCTGCCTCCCGGATGGCTTGCCGCAGTGTGGGGGAGGCCATTACCCTCAGGCTACCAGTGCCCTGGAGCATCTCGTCCACACTCAGGTAAGCTATGACCGAAGAGTCCACCCACGATGAGTACAACTGTAAACAACATCAACACAATACAGAATTATGGAACTATTTACTCTATAGTAATGTTGTCCGTTATCAACACCGACACTGACTGTATAAACAAAAACACATTCAATTTCTCATTTAAACTAGGCTACACCTACACAGCGCTACTCACTGTGTCTTGAATAACCTGAGTAAACTTAGTAAACTACGAACGATTGTGTACTGTACCTTAAAGACCCCCCGTTCCCAACTGTCTGGAGGCCGTGGAAGATGTTTGTGGCCAGGACGCTGAACCCAGAAACGTTGATGGTGGGTGGCCAGTCATTAGGCCGCCCCCTCATACACATTGAATTAATCACTCGTAATATCATCATAAAAGTCACTTACAAGTCTCCATAATGAAACTAAAATTGATGATCATGGCTCTCAAAGATGACGAGGCATTAATAAAATTCTGAGATCTTATTTGTTGCTACCCAAAATCCCTGTTGTGTCTTATAGTTCATTTTCTTAATCTACTATGTTGTTCATACTGAATTACTCCAAGATTAACTTCAGGTATATTTCTTGTTTCATATTTAGTTATTCAGAAGCTTCTTGTTCAAATCAAAATGACCGTCAGCACCGAGTGTCCCGTATACTGAACACATGATACTTCCCCTGGGCAACAATTTGATATCCTACAATTCTAGTTTTAAGAGTCCGAATGGTCCAATTTGCGCCTCTTTAATTTTCATAGTACACAGCAACGCATTTCCTATTACCGACCAACTGCTATGATTTACCTGTAGTCCTGTACCAAAATCTCTTTCAATACTTCACATGTCTTTTCCAAATGAAGAGTTACTCTATATGTTGTCCTAATACAAACATGTTGCCACTGTCACCAACACCTCGTGACTATACCTTCCTAAAGTACCTACTTCTACAGCAACTCAGACACGAACAGATCAGACTAGTACAGTTGTATTATTCCAGTTACATTAATATTACTAGTAACTCATTGACGTTTATTATCACTGTGGATAATTAGTCGTAATCAAGACAGGCATAAAGATTGATTGACTGAGGTAATAACATCCCTGGTGACACTTAAAGACATAAATACTCAGTAAAACTCAAGGGGACAGAAATGTTGAGTTAGATGTAGAATCTGGACAATTAGGGAGGTAGTGACTGTAAATTTTGTTTTTAAGAGCCGAGTTTTCATTTAGAAATATAGTTGTTTAGTTGTTCTGAACAATTAGTAAGGACAAGTACTTACTTATACACCCACGCAACATTTGAAATATATAAACGAACATGAACCACTGACAGAGGGAGAGTTGAAACCATTACTTAGCAGAGACACACAAGACCACGTTTTTTTTTTGTCCATAAAAACAAATCATTGCTGATATTCAAACATCGTAAACGACGAGTAGTACAATCACCGTCAGGTTCAGATTAAAAATATAATCCTGTACATGGCAGCAGAAATGTTTTAGTCAATTTAATAAGTCGTTGGGAATCAGTTAAGATATAATTTATAAGTGTATATGAGCATGTAGCTTCTGTTTCTTACCTGAGTAAATTCTGTTGAGCCGATCATGCCGTACTCTCCGGCGGCCCAGGCGGAGAACACCAACTTACGCTGAGTGCCCCCTGGCAGGTAATTTTTGGCGATGGCTTCGCTTAGGGCCAGTAGTGCCCCAAGTCCCGCACCGGGGTTAATGGAGAGAGACCCGTAGTGGCATCCTACCATGATCACCCTGCCAACACCACCACACCTCACAATAATATTGTACAGTCTCGTTCAAGATTCTTTGAACACTGCTGGAGACACCTGGCAACTCAAGGCCGTTTGTTTACTATAGTACGTAGTAAAAATTATGAATGAATGTAAAAGGTTATCGCTCATTGGTTACTTAGTTCCCTGTTGTTTAATTAATGGTTGGGCTTTGTTGTTTCGTATTATGTTATACTACGAACAACAGTATAGTAAACAAACGGCCTCGAGCTGTCAGCTGTCTCCAGCAGTGCTCGAAGTACGTTTACATTCTTTCTGTAAGTTATAACAAATTTTAATGGAAATTTTGAAGTTCCTACTCCAGCAAATCTTTTATATTGTTATATAACTGAATAACATAAATAAAACCTTACTATTATTTTGGGATAATGTAGAGCTTGTTTACGCCAGCAAACTATACAAAACAATTGGTGGTTTACCTGGATTCATCAGCAGCGGGCAAAGTTGCGTGGATGTTCTTGAGGGTTTTCTCATGCAGGATGTTGTTGACCGACAGCGTGATATTGGTGACGTTACTGTCAAGGGTCCAGGACCCCCCAAGGCGGTACACCAGGTCCAGGTCCCCCCACCATCCTTCAGGTGCCTCCGGGCCATCCATCATCACCAGCAGCTGCTGTGCCACCTCCGCACTCACGGTGTGTCCAGGGATCTTCGGCAGCGTCTGTGACGACTGTCCAGTCCTACAGGAAGAGGGGAGGTGTTACTCAGCCCAGAGAAATTTGTATAGTTGTGCCGAAATCTTTGTTCATGGAGGTTTTGTATGACCACCAGACGTTTTATGTCGGTGTGCGAGAAGAAGCTAACTGTTTGTCCGTCTGTGTGTTGATGATGTGTATGTGTTCACACTAGTCCTTGAGAACAATAAAGTCTAAGGACCACCACACTAGATATATAAGTCCGTCATGATTCACTCTGGTTCGGGAATACGACAGAGTTCAAAAAATCAAGGGTCAGAGAAAGTAAGTCAGTGCCCCGGAGTTGAAGGCGGGTCCCATCGGCTTTGAGAAAACTGATTACTAAGCCTTAGGAAGCTTGTGCATGAAATTTTTATATCTCGTCTTCTAACTATTAAAGAGTCATTAATCACTGAGTTTGGATTTCCACTCTCTCTCTATCTTTTAGTTCGTTATAAAAAAATATAAATATTCTAAACCAATGAAAATTTGAAGCTGTGGGGAGAGGCTGCCACAACTTACTGCCTAACTCAAACCTTTTATAACAGCAAGTCAGCCACTCTCGGGAAGGGGAAGTGGGGAACTCACCTGTAGATCAAGGTTGGGGAGAAGGTAGTGGGGAGCTAACCTGTAGATCGTGGTTGGGGAGGAGGTAGTGGGGAGCTAACCTGTAGATCGTGGTTGGGGAGGAGGTAGTAGGGAGCTAACCTGTAGATCGTGGTTGGGGAGGAGGTAGTAGGGAGCTCACCTGTAGATATAGTCGAGGCTGGGAAGGAAGGGCGTAGCAGGGTCCCCAGGCAAGGTGCTTACAGTACTCCAGATGACGCCGTCGTCCGGTAGTCCAGTCCCATTAGGGTACGGCTCTCCGCCCCCAAACATTCCCCGCATGTCTGCAGGATCAGGGTAGAACAACACGCCCACAGCTCCGGCTTGCTCAGCGTTATGCATCTGCGGGGACGTGGTAATGGGTGCCACTAAGTGGGTGAAGACGACGGTGAGGGGTGCCACTAAGATGATGAGGGGTGGCACTAAGATGATGAGGGATGGCACTAAGATAATGAGGGGTGGCACTAAGATGATGAGGGGTGGCACTAAGATGATGAGGGGTGGCACTATGGCATGATGAGGGGTGGCACTAAGATGATGAGGGTGGCACTATGATGATGAGGGTGGCACTAAGATGATGAGGGTGGCACTATGATGATGAGGGTGGCACTAAGATGATGAGGGTGGCACTATGATGATGAGGTGGCACTAAGATGATGAGGATGGCACTATGATGATGAGGGGTGGCACTAAGATGATGAGGGTGGCACTATGATGATGAGGGTGACACTAGGATGATGAGGGGTGGCACTAAGATGGTGAGGTGCCACTAAGATGATGAGGGGTGGCACTAAGATAATGAAGGGTGGCACTAAGATGATGAGGTGGCACTAAAATGGTGAGGGGTGGCACTAAGATGGTGAGGGGTGGCACTAAGATAATGAGGGGTGGCACTAAGATGATGAGGGGTGGCACTAAGATAATGAGGGGTGGCACTAAGATGGTGAGGGGTGGCACTAAGATGATGAGGGGTGGCACTATGCCAATCCCCTCAGCCATCACCAGGCCCTCACACAGCCACTCACCCAGCTATCATCCAACCCCTCACCCAGTCCAACAACTCAGCCCTTCACTCGGCTCCTTATCCTACCCCTCAACCCAGTCCCCCATCCTTGCCTCACGCTTACCAGTCCCACATCCACACCTCATCCTCATTATACCCACACCCAGCCACCCCTCACTCAACCGTTATCAGCCTTCATCCATCCCTACCCCATTCCCTCACTCAGGTCTCTACAACACTCTAGCTAACCCTTCATCAGCCCTTACACAAACACTACAACATTTGTTTCACCTGAATTTAGCTACAGGAAGGAGAAGATGGTCAGTATACTGTCTTAATCGTCGCCCTTCCTTCCAACAGTGTAATATTGAATAGAGAGGATACAGTGCCCCCTAGCCAGTGCCCCCACCAGTGACCCCCACCCATGCCCCTCACCAGTGCCCTGACACACTCACCTTGGCACCGTTGTGTAGTTTGCCGTGCCGCAGGAGGAGGATGGAACCTTTGAGGTTGATCTTGCGGGATTGAAGGGTGGCGAGGTCCTCCCGTTTCCCGTAGCGGCCATACACCAGCGGCCCAGTCACCACTCCCGCCGGGCTGTTAACACCACTACGTATAAATTACTCATACTCATGTTAACATAAACCTTATGTACTTAACACTTTACATACACCCACACGGTATGAGAACAACTGCCCCTCTCCCCCGGACATTTTCCACCCATCAACTGCTGCCCTAGACATTTGCCTCCCCATTGTCAGTGAATATCATGTAAAGCTTACCAAACTTATTAAAACTGAACCTACTGAACGTGGAAAAAGGAAGCTTATTTATGAGAGCTAGAGAAAGGACTGGCAAATAGTGTTATATCCTAGGAATGTGGGAGATGTCGATGTACTAATTGTAAAATCAAGGTTATTTTTTTTAGATAAGGTCCAGAAGTAGTGTCTGTCAGGCAGGAGATCAAGAGGAGAGCTGTTAATAGACCGCGCAGCAAATTATCACCCAAACAGTTCAGAATATATCAAAAGGCGCCTCAACGCAAGTACCACCTGTAAGACGTATTCGACTAGCATCAGTAATTCGAACAATATAAAATCATATAGCAAACATTTAATAGACATAATTAAGAAATAGTACATATAATACATGTATAATGCGAATTGAATGTCATAGATATGGGTGATTACACAAATTATTATTATTTTTTTTTTGCAGATGACAGCTGATGGTGACGATTTCCTGCAGGATAGTGGACCGAGTGATCGCATATGATGGTGTTTTCTACAGCCAAAAAAAATAAGGTTTTTGGAGAGTTCAATTGATTGGTTTGCTGACGGAACATTTAAAGTCGTACCAGAACTGTTTTACCAACTGTACACTATTTATTTTTCTGACTTTAAAGAGTTATTTCACGTATTGATGCTCTGCTACCAAACAAACAACATCATAACTTAAAGTATCTCAAGAAAGGCGATTTTATTTCCACGCTATCAAGTGTTGTCATCAAAGTCATGGAATACTATTTCATGGGTCAGGTTTTTACTCTCACCTTCCTTCCTTCCTCGTTGACCGCATCAGAACAGTTTATCTTACATTGTACTAAGAGTTTCTTCCTGGTTTATATCCCATGTTGTTTACAGGATCATTTTGTCACTGTTTACTGTCTATCTCGTAAACAATCATCTCTGTACTGCTCCACTACATTAATATCGAATGAAAGCATCCTGAAGTTTCTCCAATATCTAATTACTTTCGCCATCAGATATATTCTAGGCTTTAAACGCTTTTGTTAGTCGTCTTGTTTCGGTAAACTCTCGCTTTCATATCCCCAAACGTTGGTATAGATTTGTTCAACTCCGCCCGCAGAACGCCATAAATGTTCCAACTTTTCACCTTTAATGCAGACATTCTGGAACGGCAGTGTTACAGTATGTAGCTCGGTGTGTCGTGTGTCAGCCATTATATATTACAGAACAGGGAGTGAAGCAGCACTAAGGTTGATGGTGAACTTCGGTATGTTTGATGCACCAATTATGTCACACACTTTGATGACATTATTATTGTACAGTTTTGCCGAGCTTCATTTATCTCCTTTATTCAGCAACTCACCAACAACAGTAACTACGTATCTGACACAGTTGTAGCTGTCAAGATATTTGGTGAAAATTGAATGATTTAAATCTAAAAGAATCTTAAAAAGCAGTGCTTCAAGTGCCTGAAGCTAATATAAATATTACAGTACAGTACTGAGAAACTTTCGCAAAAACTATGGTCACTCAGACGTTTCTGAAAAGACGGTTTTAGACTTTTGTTCACTAGTGTAGATTATTCTTGTTTAAAAAAAATATTGTGTATATAACAATGGATACATTAGGCTGTTCTCTACATTACCAAATATTTTCCAGATGTAAACAAAAAATAAACCTTGTAACATATTTTACATCACACGGTAGTGAAACATGATACGCTTTAGAATACTCTCTATAAAAGGTAACTTAATAATGTAATGAGAACATAACTGATTACATAACTATATACTTTTATATGTCAGTTATGTTGATACAAGAACACACAACAGGGCTACCAACACTATCACCACAGGGCTACCAACATTATCACCACAGGGCTACCAACATTATCACTACAAAACTACCAACATTATCACCACAGGACAACCAACATTATCACCACAGGACTACCACCATTATCACCACAGGGCTATCAACATTATCACCACAGGACTACCAACACTATCACCACAAGACTACCAACACTATCACCACAGGGCTACCAACACTATCACCACAGGACTACCAACACTATCACCACAGGACTACCAACACTATCACCACAGGACTACCAACACTAACACCACAGGACTACCAACACTATCATCACAGGACTACCAACACTATCACCACAGGGCTACCAACACTATCACCACAGGACTACCAACACTATCACCACAGGGCTACCAACACTATCACCACAGGACTACCAACACTATCACCACAGGACTACCAACACTAACACCACAGGACTACCAACACTATCATCACAGGACTACCAACACTATCACCACAGGACTACCAACACTATCATCACAGGACTACCAACACTATCACCACAGGGACTACCAACACTATCACCACAGGACTACCAACACTATCACCACAGGACTACCAACACTATCACCACAGGACTACCAACACTATCACCACAGGGCTACCAACACTATCACCACAGGGCTACCAACACTATCACCACAGGACTACCAACACTATCACCACAGGACTACCAACACTATCATCACAGGACAACCAACACTATCACCACAGGGCTACCAACACTATCACCACAGGACTACCAACACTATCACCAACACTACACTATCATCACAGGACTACCAACCACTACCTCACATCACAGGACTACCAACTACTATCACCCATCCCAACACTATCTCTCACAGGACTACAACCAACACTATCATCACAGGGACTACCAACACTATCACACGGGGTTACCACACTATCACTACAGGACTACCAACACTATCATCACGGGACTATCATCACAACCAAAACTATCATCACAGGACTACCAACACTATCACCACAGGACTACCAACACTATCATCACAGGACTACCAACACTATCATCACAGGACTACCAACACTATCACCACAGGGCTACCAACACTATCACCACAGGACTACCAACACTATCATCACAGGACTACCAACACTATCACCACAGGACTACCAACACTATCATCACAGGACTACCAACACTATCATCACAGGACTACCAACACTATCACCACAGGACTACCAACACTATCACCACAGGACTACCAACACTATCACCAGACATACTTGCTGTTTCATATTACTTCGCTGTTTATTGATATACCAACTGTACTGTACCTTTTAGTGGGGGTAAGACGCACCTGAAGGCGATAATGAAGTGGTGTAACTTACCTGTAGAAGGTGATACTGAGCTGCTTCGTACTGTACCTTTTGGCCCTAGTATGGGCGTTTAACTTACCTGAAGGAGATTATATACGTGTGTGTGTGTACCTGTAGGCGCTGAAGGGAGTGGGGTTACCGGTGGGAGGGAGAGGGTTGAGGACCTCCTTGTGGCCGTCACTGTAGGTCACCTCCACTGTGTTTGGGTTCTCGCTGGAGGTCGCCGGCCGTACACACAATCACAAAATACACAAGTTGTTAGTTTAATGGAACACGTATTTCTAAATCAAACTGCTAATTTATTTGGTAAATCAATGACATTAATTCCAACATATTATTGCGTACGGTGTGAAAGAATCGTTTTTTTTTAATACCTAAATCACACTAAATCACACCAGACCACTGCTTCTATCTTTAGCTTGTTTATATTCAGTTCGTTTTTATCCACCTGTGTGTGTGATGACGACCGATGTGACTCCTGTGCAAAAGTTTAATTATCTGTTTTAGGGAACAATATCATAAATACTAAGCGGCCGCTGGGATCGCTAAAACTAATTTAAATAGTGTACGTGATATAAAGAATTTTGGCTTTCAGTAGTGGAATAAAGAATGAACTATGTAACCTTGCAGGGATGTAAAGGCTTAACATGACCAGTTTAGTCTGCCCAGAAACCTGTAAGGGGGTTTCCGTAACACTTAGGGGCTGTAGATTGCTGGAAGGTACTAATTAATAGTTCTGAGAGAGCAGTATAGGTCTAGGAAACCAGTGCTACGTAATTTAAACAGTTGTTGCTGGGGTAAAGTTACTCAAATAAAAAGAGACTTCGTTGGAGACTACATAAGTAAAATTTAAAAAGTTACAGTACTAAAATTAACTAACTAAAACATGTGAAAAAATATATAGAAATTAAAACATAAACACACAAACAACATTTTTTTTACATATTTAGAATTTTAAGTCACCTCCAGGAATTAAAACCCCAAAACGAGGAACCGTAACTACTCACTGAAAGCTACTTACGTGTCTGGCTTGGAGAGGTGGACACGGAAGGTTGTGGTGGTGGTGTCGAGACCCTGAAATTCCCAGGTGTCCTCCACAAAGTCTGCCAACATCCTCTGAGGTATCTCTTCCAGTTCCCTGCCACAACACCAACGACAAAGTTACTTTCTCACACAAACTTAATTCACAGTCAGTAATTGTCCCCTGTCTCTTCCCTGTTGTATTATTACACCCTCCCCTATGGTACCTCTCTCTCTTCCTTGTCAACCTGTACCCTTCCACCTGTCAACTAGTACCCGTCCCCCTGTCAACTAGTACCGTTCCCCTGTCAACTAGTACCATTCCCCGTCAACTATTATCCTCCACTACCCTCCCTCTTTGACTTCATCTTGTGACTTCATCTCAAACCTTCACCGCTTCTTCCCCCTCAAACAATATCTCCTCCCACTACATCATCGGCGTCCTCTCTCTCTCTCTCTCTCTCTCTCTCTCTCTCTCTCTCTCTCTCTCTCTCTCTCTCTCTCTCTCTCTCTCTCATTCACCATCGACTCTTTTCTACCAAGTTGTATTGATGAGTGTACACGTACTTACTTCATATTGTATTGGATCATGCTTGGTAGCAGGCTATGGAGGAAGCGTTGGACATGCATGTAGTCAAGCGTGGAGCCAGAGATGATATGCTCGCTGGTGTGGCGATAACTCCTGGCATAACCCCACGCTAGTCCCACACACACGCCCAGACCCACACACACCAGACACACCGACAGCATCAGGATCTGTAAAAAGATTAATCGTGTTTACTGTTTAACTCAAGGCATCTACTGCCACTGGTGTCAGAAAGACTTGATAGGTTTGGTTTTATTATCTTTAGTGATCCTCATTACAGTATAGGATCGTACCCCGGCTCACGTACAACACAATGCCAAGATTACCTATAAATTATGCTATCCATCTTCGTCACGTTGATATGCAAGATGTGATAATGACTGTGAATGGAATATTAAAAAGGTTGTGAAAAATGGTCTGAGTGAGCCACCATGTAATGCCTCTGTGGTGATGGGGCAGTGGTCGTTCACATGATTAGGCCTAGTACCATGAATACCATGATACAGTACAAGCAAGACCTTCAAATGGCCATGCATCACAAGTCTTTGTTCCACGTATTGAAAAAAGTCTGAAAAAGATTACCAGACTGGAAGCTGTATAGGATGTGCACAAACCACACTACTTGAAACTAACAAAACCTTTTTAGCGTATAAGGAAACACACCAGATGACGCATCGGTCCATCAGCGTGTGGCCCTGGAAATTGGTATCAATTTCTGTGAATAAACACAAATAAGTGAGAATTATTTCACCTGCCAGCTGATTCCTTGACCACTATTTCCAAGGAAAAAATCGTCATTACAACCAATGACACCAATGTATTCTCAAACAAGTACACCAATGTATTCTCAAACAAGAACATCAATGTATTCTCAAACAAAGAAAACTTTAACAGCAGCTTTATTGTTCCATGCACTCATGAAGAAGCAGACACACGGATGTTTACGCATGCAGCTGATGCGGTCAACCACGCTTACAGAAGAATAATAATGCTTAGGACTGTGGTCACAGATGTTGTTATCTCTGTTTCTTATTGCAGTAAGTTAGCGGCACAAAAATTTGGGCTGGCATTTGGAATGGGTCAGAAGTATTCCCGCGACAATCCTGTACTGTGTATGACAAAGTTCCTTTCTTTGATGGAATTGGGAGAAAGACAACTTGGAAGACATTGCAGGTCTACCCAAAAGATATCGGTGTATCGTCTGAGATTTGTTTCCCCTCATGTACGATAGTTACTTGTGATATTGTGCAAAAAATCAATGCTGTTCAGAAGCAATTGTTTTCGCAGAACGGGAGGCAGATAGAATCGATTCCTCCAGCGAAAGATACACTGACACTGAACTCAAAACGGGCCGTTGTCCTAGGTGGATATTTATAAGGAAAGTGACTCATTGCAGAACCCGAAATATCAGAACCACGTGACTGGGGTTAGGTACATATAGAATGTGACAACAGCTGGCAGCCCGATGCTTCCAAACTGTGTCAGCAGTTGATGAAATGTTGGGTGTAAGCAAATATGTGCGGGCCGTTACAAATGGAACAAGACCGCGTTAAAATCCACACCACTATACAAATAAAGTGGAGTCCGTAATACAGGAAGACGGTAACTACCACATTACTTAAGTGTTTTAATCGCGACTAGCTGCATATTGGTGTAAACAAAAACAGTCTGCAAATATCACACTGCTTAAGTGTTTTGGCTGAGCCTCATTTTATGTAATTACCAGTTGAGGCTCTTTTATGCGTGAACTGACTCACAAAATATGCATAAAGGATGTTGACGAAGAACAACACCTGCAGTGATAATATGAATTATTAATCATATAACATAACATTGGTGTCGCCCATACTGACCAGAAGTGTCAAAATTATTGATATTTAGCAGTTTATGTATTCTATTTAACATACTTAAGCACAACAATGTCGAACTATACAATAATATGTGACGAATACTATATATTGGGTATATAAACAGAATTTTCAATGTAATTTAAATATTTCATTTTGTAGAGGGCGCTGCATCCACCACTATCATGTCCAATTCCAACTGGAGTGAGCAGCAGAGAGACTGTAGCTCCTGGCGGGCGGGGATACACCTCTCGCCAAGATGACAGCCAAGACCTCGAAACACACAACAAATAAGGAGTCATCACAAGTGAGACGAGGAACAGAATCATAAACATGTCCAATTATATGTTATTAGACATTGTTACTGCAAAGAAAGTCTCTTAGACGGCATACAATTACATTTGCACAACACAAAGTAATTTATTTGTTTATGGGTTATAAATACTGTAATAAATACTGTTATTTTTGTGTATCTTTGTGTTCTAACACCTAAAGTCTTTAAGCATATTTACTCGGTCAATTCTCACACAAGACAACAACTACTGTACTATAAATTACGAAATTTCTTATACAGATAGGTTCCTCTGACGTCACAGAAAGCTCGACTATTTTCTGCCTGCTAAGGACGCCTTCGTTCCTTGTGGCCACACTGAAACATGCAAGCCCTTTGAAAAATTATAAAAATATATAATTATTTCATACAGTTATAACAAGTTGCAAAAAAATTAACCTTGATAAGATTTTTTTTTTATAAATATTATTTTACAACACTGACTTCCGGGCCCAGCAGGTAAAATTTTCACAACTGACCTGCCTGGACCTGGTAAACACACTGGTTAGAACAATGACATTTCCCTGACTTGTGCCCCCCGGAAGGAAGTTCTCATGTAGAGGACACAAGGCTCACACAAAAGCTTTTGTGAATATAACAAGATATGTGAATCACTATTATGCTTAAATATGAACTAATAATTAATGTGCCCTGTTTTATGTCTTGTTAATTTTTTTCCGTATTTATTTCCTTCTTGATGTATTCCTCCATATAGTTTATTCTATACTGAGGTGATCTTGAATATTTTTTCTTTTACTTTTTTCTTGGGATTAATTTACTTGAAAACAAAGGAGGGGCAAAGTGATTAGAAGGATAAAAAGAGGATAAAAATAAAGAACTTATAATTACCTTCTCATGACTGTGTGAGGATAGTGGGGTACTACCATGACTGTGCGAGGATACAACGGGTACTACCATGAGTGTGTGAGGATAGTGGGGTACTACCATGACTGTGCGAGGATACAACGGGTACTACCATGAGTGTGTGTGGATAGTGGGGTACTACCATGACTGTGCGAGGATAGTGGGGTACTACCATGACTGTGCGAGGATACAACGGGTACTACCATGAGTGTGTGAGGATAGTGGGGTAGTAAACTTACCATGACACAGAGCAACCTGATTTGGCCCCCATGAGAGAGGACATGCGGGAGACGGGGGGCGGAAGGGGTGATGATAGTGACGGCCTCACCTCGCCCTCGCCCTCCCCTGGACTCGCCTTCAACACCTTCATCGTCTTCGTCATCACTAGGTTGAGCGCGCCAGCGGGTGTAACTCTCCCCCGACATCCTGCAACACACAACACACTGTTTTGTTTTTTATGCAAAAAGAGAATACAAGTGAGCATCGCGCATGATTCAAGATACACTGGAACCATTCTGAGCAGAAATAGATATCACTCAATGCAATATTCGTGTGTGTGTGTGTGTGTGTGTAAGAGCAGACTTTCCCTTCATTCGTTCAACCTAATTACTGTAACTGATGTGTTCTGCTACGGTGTCTCTCTTCCTCAACAAGGCCTGGAGATACGTCCATTCCTCTCAAGCACTCGGCATCTTCACAGCTCCTCTCATCTTATCGACGCATCTCCTTACTCTTCTTCTCCTCACTTCACTCTTCTCACTCTCAATCATACAGCTGTACCTTAGTTAACCCTCATCGGTTCTCTAATTAATACGCCATGTCTTTTCATAGCGTGTTTCTTATACCGATGTTTCTTATTTTCTTCATTATATTTATCTTGCATTTGTTTCTCGTCACCTGTCCTGTTAGGTAGCTCATCACCTGCTGTTTTGTTACCCTAACCCCGGCTTAACACAACACATCCACTCCGAGATATCTGAGAATTTAACGTCCTCTATTTTAACTGCATTTAAACTAACAATAATTTTTTTTTCCGATCTTCTTAATTCTACAAATTTCATTTTATTCACGATCACAGTAACTTGTCCTTCAGCAGTCTTCCAAATTTATTCACACATTAATAGCTATTGACCTAACAAGTGCCTCTTTCTGTCATTTCCCCAGTCACCTTCTCTTGTTGCCTCAGCCTTGAACAAGTTGAAGAACTGATTCTACTGACACCGAGAACCAGTTCCTTTCGTTCTGACACACACACACTGGGTTGGCAAAAAGCATTTTTTTTAAAACCCCAAAACCATGTTTTTTGTTTGAATGCTATTATTTTGGTTTTAATGAGTTTTAAGTATTTGTAGCACTTTTTATAATTCTTGATATGCAATTAATCATAAACACTACATTCAGGATAATTTAGCAATCACTTACACTCTTTTCCAACTCAAAATAAATCACTGTACAAAGACCAAAAACACAAGATTTGATCAGTCATCCAGCCTCATCCTCTAAGCACAAGGGCAAAAGCTAAGTTAAAGTTCATCAGTTACAGTAATTAGTTTTGTGTTATTCTGGAAGTACTTAATTAAATAAACCCTTTAAATGTATACCTTCATAAAAAAAGAGAGGATATTTGTATTACATATGATCTGATGTCCACTGAAATATAGTACAGAAAACAAAAGTTATCTCTATTTACCAAAAACGTTAGTTGCATTTTAAGGCTTAATAGAACGATATTCCGTAAAAACCAAGACACACACAAGGAAGCTGTACAGTATGTCTTATTTCATCAATGTTCGTATAAAATAACTAAAGTTCATACACACGTCTGCAACTCCTGCTGGACTGAGCACTAGTGAACATGGAGGTTGGTTTGGGTAGAGTCCGCATTTATGTTGCCAGGTGGTTAATAGTACTGTACATCTCTCACTCCAGAATGATGTGTCATTGTGTCAAGGCAAGCTAGGAATCGTTAATGTATGTTCAATAAAATTTGTGTTACATCAATATGAATTCACACAGTTCAAACATTTGATGAAATAAACACATAAAGTAGAGATGATATAAAAGAATTTCTCTGAATTTTTCTCGAAAATTCGAACAATTACATAAACCTGATTCAACAGTTCAAAATATAAGAAAGTAACTTCATCTCACTTAACATAATTTGGGTACCATTTAGCTTTATTGCGATAGTGTAAACTGTTTTCATGAAATTAAATTTATTTTACAGGATGTGTATTAATTTCCATGGTTTTAACAATAAATTTGAAAGTTATCTATATAGAGTCTGTTGAGTTTGAGGGACTTAAAATCCACTGATACTCGCATACAGTATAATACAAGTATGTATGTTACGCTATGCAGGAAAAGAGCGTTAACTATCTATGTGTTTTCTTTAAACTTCTGACTGGCCATTAAAGTAGATAATAAGTCTACATATAAATGAATAACTAACCTACTTTAGGAAAAATTTGGTTATCTTATAATGGTACGCGAGTCTTGAATGCACCAGAGCAATTTTTACCATATACGAACTAATATGCATTAAGTCGTAGCAATAAACGGAAAAAATATCCATATTTGGCAAAGCTTTTTTTTTTTAATACGACGTTCGAAATGCAGCAGATGAGTCAAGAATATTGTCAGTAGATAAGTTAACTTTCATTTTGTTGATCTGCAACAGAAAAATAATAGCCAGGTTCACTTAACCCCTCATCAAGAACCACATTATGGGTAAACAGTAAGGACGTCCAAGTATTTGCTGAACCCGGACACAATGAGGCGGCCCCAGGTATCATGTGGTCACCTGGGTAGTGATTCTTACCTGGCTCATCAGCCGTCGTTAATCTTCACCACACACGAGCACCTTCCATGGTGAGACCGTGGCGTGCCATAAGGTGGTAACCGAGCACTTCCTGCTTTACCTACAGGTAACACTTCACGCACTATACACTCTCATTCCCTCCACATTTGCTTCCAACTACAACTAACCGACGTGAGGGACACCACGTTAACCTATTGTGTATGCGTTTCACTGAAGTCCATTCAGTTTCTTGTTGCTGATCGAAATATTTGGGTAATATCTTGATTACGAAAAAGTTTTGAGAATAAGTATTTAAGAATATTTCTTAAAATTTTCAAATGTATATAATTTGTCTGAAACAGTTGCATAACACTGATAAAATGTGATAAATGAAGATATAACATATAAGACGCTTAATGATCAAGAAAAGAAAAATTAGGCGAAGTGATACGAAAGTATGCCAGGTGTAGAAGGAAGACACAGATGATCTGGCAACAGGACTGGAACATTACATGCGCCAAGTGAACTAAGACGTCTATTTGCCACCTAGTTCTAATAAACATAACTTATGATTATTCACTTGAGTGAGACACTACAACTTATTAGTGGATTTGCTGCCAGAGTTAACATTATAACTCACGTCATGATACCAACAAACACCAAGCGTCAACTATTCCGGTGTAAGACGCCTTCAACCGCGGGCAGTGAAGTCTGGGTGAAGACGTCTTGAGGAGTAGCAGGTAAAAGTTCAGCAACTGGTCAGACGTCAGTGTCTGTGTTAGACTGCCTAAGTCAGACTGTCAGCCTGGGAACAAGGGTCCATGGACAGACTAGTGTGGCTCCTGATGCTTGTTAACGATATCTGGCAACTGTTGAAACAAACCACGTATATTATCCTTCAGGTGTTCTTGCTCCTGGTTAGAACATAAGAATTACAACCAACTGCAGCCGGTCAACAGTACTGAAACTATGACAGACGCCTCGCTGTAATTTTTACTAGACTGCCTTCTGAGTTATTCACCATATTTTAATGAATGTTTTAGTCGGTGTTGACTCATAACCAGTTTTCATTGTAAGGAAGTTAGTGAGAGAGAATTTGACCAGAAAGAGAATAATGATATTAAAATGTCGGGCACCACTGGCCTACCTGACCATACTGCATTAATTGAGACAGAATGTGAAAAGGACCTAGGTGTGTACGTTAACAACGAGCTGAAGTTCTCGAGCCATTGCGAGAAGACGGTAAATCAGGCAACTAAATTATTAGGTCTTATAAGAAGGTCGTTCACATGGTTAACACACCCAACCTACCAATACTGCCCACCTACACACACACACATATATATATATATATATATATATATATATATATATATATATATATATATATATATATATATATATATATATATATATATATATATATCGTGGTAACTTCTTTTTTGTGTTAATATGCCCCAGATTCCTTGTATTAATAGAAGTGTACAAGTGCTTATCGACCTTGCACGCACGCACGCGCGCACACACACACACACACACACACACACCTTATCTTGCTATGATGCATCAGGATGATTGGTCAGGTGTTACCTCCAGCTTCCAAGCCTTCAGCAGTTGGTTGGTTGTTGCAACATCTTGGCAGGCTGCCAGTGCACCGAAAGGTTGTTCCACCATCAACAAGCAGCTCACCAAGAGAGGGGAGGGGGGTACTCACTTATGCTTAGTTCACAAGACGGAACCCAATCCTCCACTACACCAGGAAATCAAATCCATGACCATTTGCTTAAGAGGCGAACATTATATAAAGCAACTCGAGCCTAAGCCAATGAACGATCATAAAATAAAATTAAAAACTTTTGGGGTCAGGCTCATAAATAAATCTGTTTATGGTACTCACCCCTGAAGATGTGAATTACACGAAAGCGCTTGGGAACTTTGTGTTTTCTTTTTTCCTCTATGTGTGTGTTGGTGTGGGGATTAGTGGATGACATCATTATGACCTGACCTCATGTTTTTTAAGGTCACCCTGTATATTTAAGCCTCTCTCTGTTCATGTAATCCAGTTGCCTCTGAAGATGTCTTGAATAAAGACGAAAGCTAAGGTGCTCCGTTGTTTCCCTTTTCCCGTGTGATTTTATCAAGATATATATATATATATATATATATATATATATATATATATATATATATATATATATATATATATATATTACGTAAGACTAATATACTCAGGAATTAAGTCAGCCGGAGTTTCCTAGTAGTATATACAGTATACGTCATAGGTATCATGATACTGGGGGTTCCAACTTCCATATGGACAGTAACAAAGTATTAAAATACAAATATATAGTACTAGTACATTCCTAGGGTTTATTAAATTGGTTATTAAAGTCACAAAACAAGTAAGCCATCAATACTACTATTACTACTACTATTACTATTACTACTACTACTACTACTACTACTACTACTAATAATAATAATAATAATAATAATAATAATAATAATAATAATGATAATAATAATAATAATAAAAGTTGTGAATTGTGAAATCATTTAGCTGATAAACTTAATGTGATCCTGACAATCTCAATTCAATAGCGACAGCACCAACTTCCAGCCTAAACATTGTATTTATCTCGTAGTTTATCACTTTCTTAATAAACTCGAAATACACAACATAAAAATAGAAAATCATAATACTGTGTACATGTATAAAAAATTCAGTGGTAAATTCAGCATGAGATTTTAGGTACGGTTAGCTCAGCACGGAACAATCTCAATACGGTACAACCCCAGCACGCTACAGTATCAGCACGGTACTATCTCAGCACGGTACCAAATACCAGTACGGTACACCGGACTAGTATTAGACGTAATAAACAAAAACAATGACAATCGAGCCATTCTCTTACATTTTTTATCCTTTATGTACCCAACCTTATAAATCCCCTGCTGTACCTAACACGAATATAATCACAAATTCACCCTTTTTCCATTGCCTTGGGAATTTTGGGTAGTTTAAATTTTAGTATTGTTTACCCTCAGAATATTTTTCGTGAGCCGTTCTCTCTTACAGTACATTTATACACAGAAAACAGCTATGATTTCTCTTCAAGCCTTTTGATAACTTTTTTATTTTAATATCATATTCACCACTTATCAATTTACTAGCCGTTTGGGCGGTTTATCCTGTGTTAGAACAGGAGGAAACCGGGGACCTGTAGTGTTTGGTAGGGTTAATATAATTTTTCTTCTGAATCAACCACAAGGAGCTGATTACCACATTTGCACCTCCCCAGTAATCGTGGTTTAAAAATATCTCAACTATTACATACAGTATACCTACCTGCACAAACCACTGGCCTCCTTCCCTCAGTATGGGGTAAATAGGGTATATCCTTGCTGTATTTCTACTTTCACTGGAGATCCATTTTATATTTCCCACTCTCACCACATGCTTCCAGGGTCGCATTAACAACTGTGCCCGAGGAGGCCAGGCCGAGAGCCCTCAAATTTTGCCATTATTTACCATTACTTTTATTAATACTTCTAATCTATTTGGTTTGGCAGTATTCACTATGATGAAAATACACTGGTATTTGGAATATAATATTTGCTGCCCATTAGACATCAGCCAAAATAGTAGATATCAAAGTCTCCCAAGAAAAATAAACATCGATTATGTACCCTGGCGCCGCACATTCACTAAACCTGGTTGGTGTACGGTGTTAGATGTTGCTCGGGAGCACTAAATAGTTTTTGGTTTGCTGAACAAATTTTATGTCTGTGATTACTTCCCCTTAACGAGTACATCGCATCACTCCGCCAGGTGCCAGCTGTACCACATACACACTGAAGTGAGTCTTTCACAATAAAGAATAAGCGAAAGATTTAAGGGTGTGTCCTTTGAACAGTACACAGACCGTCACTAAGATACTCAAAGTCTGTAATACTGGTAGATACAGTAAAAATATTCTTTGTACCGTAGTCAAACCATCAATGGTTGCAGATGTCACATATATCTGATCTCTGAATATTATGCTACTTGTTAGTAGTATATCGAGAAACATGCTATTTTCTATAACTTTCTAGTCGCCAGAAAGGTGTTTGGCAAAGTAATTTGCAGTATTACCAAGTGTTTGCTGGACCATTGATGAGAAAGTTGGTAGAATGTAGTGTAAACCATCCTGCGCTGTGGCACGTTCTGGATGAGTCAACAAAATATTAATGGTACTGCACATATACGTTTAATCTACGTCTCTAATATTTATATTGATTATATAAATGTAGAAAGATGATATAATTTATTCTTATTTGACACTTTAAAGTCTCAATGCAATTTCGATATCATTTAAGCAGCTATTTTTATGTCTTAGCTCAAGTGTGTCAGTCAGGTGTGTACGTAACTCCAGGATGTGTGTTTGAGAGTTTTGACCGTGGAGTGGCCAGAAACACTCCTAGCGTATACATGGAGAACTTTTAAGACAGTTTCTGGCGTCTGGATCAATATGTGCTGAACGTGAGGTCTTAAATAGAATATAGAATAAAGGTGTGTAGGTGAACCTGTTTTAGTCGACGATGAAGTAATTCCCTTTAGCGTGAGTAGCCGCGGCGCATGTACACATTAAAACACTTTGTCCGCCCATCACCTCCACCACAACACCACCCGTTTCATCCTCGTTCTCATCACCGCCTGCCCCATCACCTCCACCCCATCACGACCTGCTCCGCCATCGCTCGCCCCATCACTGCCCACACTATTAATCTTTTCTCAGCATTTTGTGGCAATGCTCCATCTACCTTCTGATACAAGTAAGCATTACAGTATTACCTAATTAAAATAATTAGATAAATTCACTGGTTTTACTATATAATTTCCGAATACCCTCCTACAATATTAGCAGTCTCTTTTACTGTTCAAATATGACTAAATATTTTCTTCAAGTGATGTTTGCCCAGGCTACTGCGGAGCGTCGAGGAAATAACAGCGCGGGGAGCGGTCAGTGACCTCCACCAGTGTTGCCACCTCCAAGGGCTGGGCCTTACAAATCCTTCTTGTAAGATCTACACTACAACATGGTCCTGGAACAACAAAAAGGTCTCTGGGGATCTTCAAACCCCCGTACTGTGGTAAAATGTGAATTGTTTACAGCGTTACTGCCACCAGAGTCCCAAGCAGTGTTCTGACCTAAGATGGCCGTGAGGCGAGTCATCCCGGCTGTAGTCCCAACTTA